ACTATGATGCTATCTAATACTCTTATATATATATATCTATATCTATATATAACACTAGCTCCCTAACTATGCTCAACCAGGGAATGGGTGTACTACTTGAAAAGTATTTTGAGTTATTACTAGTACATGTGCAAACCCATTATAAATGCTATAACAAACAAAAAGTCAAGTAAAACAATGATTCATTTCAAGCAATATTCTCTCCACTAAAATTGGACAACTTGGGCTGTCCCTGGGAGTACCTTGTAACTGGTTTTGGTCTGAAAGCACAGTATCACAAGGAAAACCTTCCTAATAATCAGAACCATCCCCAAATGGAATGGGCTGTCCTGGCAAGTCCTAAGTTCCAACTCACTTGAAGTTTTCTAGTAAAGGGTAGATGACATCTTGTTCAGAGATTTTTAAAGGGGATTGTTATTGTGGCCTCAGGTGGATTCTGAAATTCTTCCAACTCTGAGATTCAGTAATTATGAATGTCCCACGGCCTTGTCTTCCCAAACTTCAAACAAGAGCTCTTTGCCTTCTAAATACATTAAATATTGAAAATGTACTGATGAGATCAAGACTTAAATGAAATATCAAAATCTTCTCCTTTTAAAGGGCTATCTCAAACTCTTCCATGAAGCCTGCATAGGTCCCTCCAATTCAACAAGAATTTATTTATTTTTAAAGATTTTTAGCACGTTTTATTTTTTTTAATTTTTTAATTTATTTTTAGTTTTCAACTTTTTTTTAAGGCAATTGGGGTTAAGTGACTTGCCCAGGGTCACACACCTAGTAGGTGTCAAGTGTTTGGTCTGAGGCCGGATTTGAACTCAGGCACTCCTGACTTCAGGGCTGGTGCTCTATCCACTGCACCACCTAGCTGCCCCTTCAACATTCACTTTCATAAGATTTGGAGTTCTAAATTTTTCCCTCTACCTCCTTTTTCCCCCTCCCCAAGATGGCATGCAATCTGGTAAAGGCTACACATGTACAATCACATTAAACATATTTCCCCCATTAGTCATTCAACATGAATTTATTAAGAATTTACTATGTGTAAGGCATTGTTTTAGGTGCTAGAGATACAAAAACAAAATAACAAAAACTCCCTGACCTCAAAAGAGCTTATATTCCACAAAAGGAGACTCTACAAGTACATAGACAAGGAAAAATAAGGTAATTTAAGAAAGGGAAGAATATTAACAACCAGGACATTCAATTAAGGTCATAGTTAGTAGATGAGCTGAGCTTTGAAGGAATGAAAAGATTCAAAGAGGCAAAGGGTAAGAAGTACATTTTATCAGGAGTGGGAGAAGGGGTAAGCAGCTTGTACAAATGTACAAAGATAGGGGATAGAATGTCAACAAAAGGTAATAGCTAGTCATCCCATTTGGCCAGTACTTAGTATGTAAGAAGGAGTGCAACAAGAAATAATGAAAAGATAGGCTGGGAAGACAGTTTGGAGTCAGATTATGGAGGCCCTTAAATGCTAAGCTAAGGAATTTGTATTCTATCTAAAGGTAACAGTAAGCTGGGGAATGGCACAGGGAGATGATTCTGGCTGCTACCAGAGAGTAAGTTGGAGAGGTAAGAGAGTGGAAGCAGAAAGACCAATTAATAGGAGAGTTGGAAGTCATCTGCATAGAGACAAAAATCAAATCCATGAGAGCTAATGAGATCACCAAGACTGAGGGTACAGAGAGTAAAGAGGACCCAACCCTGAGACACTCATAGTTGGGGTGCAGGAGATGGATGATGATCCAGCATAGGAGACTGAGGAATGGTCAGACAGTAGGAGGGCAGTGGATCAACAACATTCAGAAGCCACAAAGAAGTGGAAGGAGTAAGGAAAGATCACTGGATTTAGGAGCTGAAATGTCATTAATATTCTTGGAGGGAGCAGTTTCAGTCAACAGGTGGAACAGCTGGAAGTCATATCGTAAGGGACTAAGAAGTGAGCAAGAAGAGTTTTTCCTAGGAATTTGGCTGTGAAAAGGAAGAAAGACAGGGAAATCAGGGTAAGGGGATGACAAAGGCAACTGAAGGTTTTTTCAGCGTAATGGAGAGTAAACAACAAGCCTCTGGTCTGTGTTGTGTAAAGCCTACCTCGTGGAGTACTGAGCCTCATTCCTGCCTCTGTACATTGGAACAAGTGAACTGTCCTGCCTCCTTGGATTAAGCTTACCTGAAGCACCTCGATTTTTACCTATACTCTCTATATATTATACTTAACTATATATATATATACATATACACACACACATATATATATATATATATATATGTATTATACTTTACTATACATCTGTGTATAGACAGAGACATATATTGACATATCCCTGCAAGCTCCTTATAAGAAGGAACGTTGCCATGTTTTGTTCTGTATCTCTAATGCCAAGCATAGTGCCTTGCCCATTATGTGTGCTAATAAATGTGTCTTAAATCAAACTGAGTCTAAGGGAACTATCCAAACCTTGGCTGATAGATAGGAATGGCAGAGAAGAGATTTTGGGTCTTGAAAGTCATGAAAATGAAGCACAAGCTGTGGCAGGTGGAACCAATCTGGGAAGTCTTTGAGGATGGGCCCAAGAATAGATCGTGTCTGTCATCAGAGGATTAGAACAGCTACATGCAGAGAGGCTCATCTTCAGAAGGTTTACCTCCAGTTTGACTTTTTTTTTTTTAACAACAAATTAAAGTACAGATCAGGTTAGAGTCTATGTCTGGGGAGACACGACCCACACCAAGGAAATCAGATATCTTGAAACAAGCAGATTCAAAACAAATCACAATAAATTTATGTCTAGTGCAAATCAAATTTAGAGACATGGGTAAGGAGACAGAATTGAGCAACCTACGATGTGCCAAAAGCCATGATAAGCAATTTATTAATATTCTGTTATTTAATCCTCACAACAACCCTAGGAGAGGTGGGTGCTATTATTATCCCCATTTTACAGATGAGGAAACTGAGGCAAACAAAGACTAAATGACTTGCCCAAGGTCATACAGCTAGTTAAGTGTTTCACACTACATTCAAACACAGGTCTTCCTGACTCCAGGCCCAATGCTCTCCCTACTGTGCCACCTAGTTGGCTGGTGGCAACTAGCAGGATGAAACAGAAAGGACACTGGGACTGGATTAAGGAGATGTAAGTTCTAGCTAGTCTCAGTTCTACCATTAACTAGGTTATCTTGGGCAAGTTATTTCCCTTCTCCAGGCCTCAGTTTTCTTACTTTCAAAATAAGAGGGGTTTGCCTACATCAGGGATTTTTAACCTTTTTTTGGTGTCATGGACCCCTTCTCAGAATAATATTTTCAAATGCGCAATATTACAAAAGAGACCAATTATACTGAAACAAAGATTCATCATAGATTCCCTGAATCTATCCATGTCAAGAGAAGACAGAGGTGAACCCCAGATTAAGAACCTCTGGACTAAATGATGGCACCTAGGATCTTTGACGTTTTATGATACCAAAATTTACTGTGGCACCATACGATAATTAGTGTTTATAACACTGTTCCTAAAGGTCCCTTTTACATAATCAAAGATTAAATATGACTAGCACAGTTTTTATGTTCAGTTCATTTTACTGGATCCTAATTCTATGTATTCTTAAACTCTATGTCCTTTGGATTCTGACAAAGGCCCCATTTTGATGAAGCCTAATGGCCAACCCCCGTACCGGAGACCACGGGTCAATTCTCACTCAAGATACTGAGTCCCTACTTTTCTTCTAGCTAGCGTTGCCCAAACTGCTAAGGCAGCTTATTCCCATCTAACTGACAACTGTTCTGTGTGACTATCCCAAGTCTTCCTAGACTGCTATAGAAATTCTGTTCTCGTTTTTTCTATGTCACTGCTGGGGTGGCGATTCCCCTATTGTTTTCAGAAGGAAAAGGGTTCTGAGCTCATCTCTCCCCAAGTTGCTCGGGAGCTAGCAACACTGCTTTTCTCATGATATAGTCTGAGGCAGCCCTGGTTAGGTAAACTAGAAGCCCAGAGGAAGTGGGGATTTAATAAAAGACACCATTCTTGCTTTGGAAGTCAAGAAGCAAGGAGCTCTTTCTGTTTCCAAGATTTTGGTTTTTTTTTTCCTTTCGCATCTGGATCCTGTGCCAAATTTTGGCATAAGGATAACTTGATCAGGAACACACTTCCTAAAGATAAAACTTTTTAAACCACTTCTTCCGTGCACAAACTCACCCAATGGTCATGTCTCGGGATCACCCTTCTGAGATGAAAGAACACTTTTCTGATTTACATGGTATCAGACAGAATACCCTACACACTTCTTAGAGGCAAGAATGGAAAAAGTATGGCATAAAAGAGAATTGTTATTGTTTGGTCGTGTCTGACTCTTCATGATCCCATGGGTCATAGCACGCCAATACTATCCATGGGGTTTTCTTAGCAAAGTGGTTTGCCATTTCCTTCTCCAGTGGACTAAAGCAAAGTGACTGGCCCAGGATCACAATGCTAGTAAGTGTGTAAGGCTGGATTTGAACTCAGGTCTTCCTGATCCCAGAGCTTCAGCCATCTAGCTGCCTCCTTATCTTCTGCAAGAATGGAAAAAAAGTATGGTATAAAGAGGATGCTGACCTTTAATTTAGAAGACTCAATGGCTTGAATTGTAGCTCAGTCACCGGCTAAATTTCTGACCCAGGGCAAGACCCTTCACCCTATGGGCCTAAGTCTCCTCATTTATAAAATGAATAAACTGGATTAGATTTCTAAGTTTTGTCCAGCTCTATCATTCTACATTCTAACGTTCCATGTTCTAAGATTCCTTCTAGTACCCATATTCTATCCTTCTAGCTCTAACATTCTACATTCTAAGGCCCCTTTCAACCCTAAAATTCTATGATTCTCTATGCCACATTGCATTCCTACACACACAATAAAACTCTTAAAATATTTTCAAAAGAAAGCACAAATAGAAAACAGTTAAAATCATTCCTAGAGGAAGAAAACTTTAATTGTGACAAGTGGTACTAAAGGATGACTTACGTGTGTCCACAGTCTCCTGGATTGGGATGAAGCCTACAGGTAGCGTGTCTTTTATGTCGATGAGCTTCATATCCACCAGTACATTCCCTAAATGGCTCTTCAGAAAGGAGAGAGGGGGGGAAAAGCAGACTATTAGCCTGAGTGCCTAAGACCATTCTCTTTCAAATTTTAGCTTCATGATGCATGCTTTACACAATGAGGCCTGGAGGACTAAAGTATTGGATTAGTAGTCTAACAAACTAGGCTTGAGCACTGGATATAACGGCAATCATAATAACAGTTCAAATTTCTTTAGTGCTTTGCCCTTTATAAAAACAATTTATACTTTCCTTTACAGTATCCCATGGGGTAGGGAAGGGAAGTCTTATTATCCCTATTTTACAGATGAAGAACCTGACACACAAAGTAAAGTGATTTGCCTATAGTCACTGAGCTAGGAAGCAACTGAGTCATCATTCAAAAAGCTAAGTATGCTAACTCAAAGTTCTTTCTACCACATAACATTGCCACTGGCAAGTTTCCTTGACTATAAAACAAAGGAAGGGGATAAGGGGAATCTCTAAGGTCCCTTTGAACTATGGCATTCTATGTTCTAACATTCTGGGTTCTCAGGTTCCTTCCAGCTTGAATATTTTATATTTGCATGACTAATGCCAGCTTCGTGACAGAAAGTTAATTACAGCAGGTGGCCATTTTAACAGTCTGAAACAGCTAGACACAGGCTGTGCATGGCTCTCTGGCAAGAGTTTCAGCTATAGCATCTTTTAAGACACCCAGACCTATTCCTGGTCACCCACAGAGTCCGTTTGGTGAAGGAGGAAGCCAAGCTTTCCGACAATCCGATGTTCCACCCAGCAGAGGGCAGCTGTGCACACATAGCCCCAGAGTTCTGCCAGCTTGGCTACGTGCTCCTGACGGTCTGCATTAGGCACATGTATATTTTAGAAAGGGCAAATTCCTGTGGCAGTCACTGTTTGAGCACACGCACGTTTGAACATAATGCAGAACCAATTACCAGGCTAAAATGTCACTGCTCCAAAATCAATCTAAAAGACAACATAAGCGCAAGGCACATTTGCACAATTTTTTTAAATTATGGTATAATTTTTGCAAAATCCCATGTATCATATACAGAGTGAAGCTGTCTTTGTTTGGCTATTTCATGTCCTCCAAATTATACACTCAAAAATAGTCTTTTCTACATTTATATTTGAGTTCAGAGTCTATTAAAAAGGCAGTGTTAGAAAGCGGAAGGAGTGTTAGATTTGGAGTCAAAGTCGGTCAACATGCATTTATTATAGTTGGGGCTTAATAAATGCTTGTTGACTTACTATTAGCTAGGAATCGTACTAAGCACTGGTGATAGAAAGAAAGGCAAAAACACAGTTCCCACCTTTCAGGAATTCACATTCTAATGTGGAAGAAAATATGAAAACAACTATGTACATACAAGATATAAAAGCATACAAGTTTGAAGCCTGGCTCTTGAATTCCTACTTGTCTCTAAGACCCCTCTGAACTATGAAATCCTATGTTTTAACATGCTGTGTTCCCAGGTTCCTTCCAGTTTCCATGATAATATATACTTCATATACCTGAACTATATAAACCTGGGCCTCAGGTTCTCTTTCTGTAAAATAAGTTGAACTATTACTGAATCACAGACTTAAGAGCCAGGAAAGATACCAATGGCCATGCAGTCCAACCATCCCCAAACAAAAGCTCCAAGGCAATTAGCTTGTGCAGTGGATAGAGCACCAGCCCTAGAGTCAGGAGGACCTGAGTTCAAATTCGGCCTCAGATACATAACACTTACTAGCTATGTGACTCTGGGCAAGTCACTTAACCCCAATTGCCTCACAAACAAAACAAAACAAAACAAGAACACCCTCAGCAAGACACACGGAAATGGTCATCCAGACTCTGCTTGAAGTTTTCCAGTGAGGAAGAATCCCGCACCTATCATGGCAGTCCATTCCACCTTTGCAAAGCTCTCATCATTACAAAGGTTTTACTTACATCAAGCCCAATTTACCTAGGCAAATGATGTAATAATATAATGAGAACACTACCTTAGTAGGTATGGGGTTCTCCGACTCCCAGTTTTGTCCTCTTCAGCCAAACAGAAAAAGTGTAATCCTCCTTGCACATGACAGCCCTGCAAATACTTGAAGACATCAATCAGGTCTTCTCTAAAGGCTAACTACTCCCAATCCCTTCAACTGATCCTCACATGGAACGAGCTTGAGGCCCTTCATTACTTAACCTGCTTGCCCTCCATCTTATCAATATCCTTCCTAAAATGTGGTGAATTCAATGCAGTATTCAAAGCATAAATCTGATCAGAAAAAATATTCCCTAAGGTCTCTTCCAGCTTATAAATCTTATAATGCTATGTTTCCTCCACTGTAAAATGAGGCAGTTAGAGTGGATATCTTGTAAAGTCCCTTCCACTTCAATTTTCCTATGAATACCATACGTTTGTGACCAGGAATGGATTGTTCTCCAAGAACCATGATTTCTTAAGCCGTATGAAAAGCTTCATCACTAAAAGGCTGGTTACCAGGTAAGGTTATTTTTGGCCACAGTAACTTATGAAACTATCTAATAAGAGCTAGAAAAGGCTGAAATCTTCATTTATGGAGGGAGTACCATTGTTGTTCAGTTGTATCCAACTCTTTATGACCCTATTTAGAGTTTTCTTAGCAAAGATACTGTAGTAGTTTGCCATTTCCTTTTCCAGCTCATTTTACAGATGAGGAAACTGGGCCAAACAGGATTAAGTGACTCACCCAGGGTCACCCAGATAGTAAATGTCTGAGGCTGGATTTTAACTCAAGAAGATGAGTCTGCCTGACTCCAGATCCAGTACGCTATCCACCGCACCACCTAGCTGCCCCACCTATACCATTAGAACCTCATATACTCAATGTATAAATAAATTTGATAAGTAATAAGATCAGCACACGGGGTGTGTGCGTGTGTGTGTGTGTGTGTGTGTGTGTGTGTGTGTGTGTGTGTTTAGCACTTTACATATCACCATAGTGTTTTCATCAAAACAAAACAGTCTTCTTATATGGGTAGTGCTTCTTAAAGCATCCTTGGTTTCATCAATGTACCTCACAACCCCTCTATGCCTTAGAGTGTCTTACTCTTTGTGAATTGTTATGACCAGAAGAGAAAAAAAATTAATCACCTTCGGGCCAAACTTGAGGTGATGAGGAGGGAGGGAGTATAAGGATTATTATAATCATTTTACAGATGAGGAAACTGGGGTTGAAAAGAAGAAAGCATAGAAGACAACACAGTATAGTAAAAAGAATACTGAGATAGTAGTCAGGAAACCTGGGTTTTATTCGTGGTTCTGTGGCTTCTCTCTGAATCTCACTTTCCATCTCTGAAATGCCACTGCTATTGCTACTACAAAAGTCTACAAATCACTTTCCTTAAAAACATTCTGTGATGTAGGTAGTGCAAGTACCATCATGACCATTTTACAGATGACGCTTGAACAGGTAATGGCTTCCTCAAGGTCACATAGTAAGGCAGCGTGAACCAGGAGTAGAATCTAGATTTTCTGACTCCATGTCTGGTAGTGTTTTCATTTTGCCAAGGTGAGTGCTGGACAAAATGATCTGTAAGGTCAACTATACTGTATATCTATTAGCCTGTAAGTGGCTTTAGAGTAGGCACTATGTGCATTCTGTCTCAGTATCCCCAGCACAAAGTACTCATAGAGCCCAGGCTCTTTCAATCAGTAAGTGTCGGAGACAGGATTTGACTCTAGGCCTTCTGACTCCCAATTCAAAGGCTGTTCTATGGATTCTACGATGCCAAGTTTCCCTAAAAAAGGTACAAATTATTTTTCAAAGGCACATTATTCTGCAGAGAAGCATGAGAAGACTAACATGAAGTGAAGTAAGCAGAACTAGGAAACTACACACATATACATATACACACACACATATATATACACACACACACATATACACATACACACAATGTTTACAATGATGTAAAAGTAAAGGAAAAAAATCTGAAACTAAATCTTGCACAAATACTAGGCTTGAAGAAAAATGAGAAAATGCCACCCTTCCTTCTTGACCAAGGTAGAGGAACATAGACACAGAATACTGTATATACTATCAGACTTCAATGAAGTAAAGATTAGTTTTGCTGAACTGCTTTTCCCCCCTTTCTCTTAATTAATTTCCTTTCTCTTAATTAATTTCTCTTAATCTTAATTCTCTTAATTGTCTTTGTTATTAAGGGACAATTATGTCTTAAACAAGTTAGCACTCACCGGCAATCTTTGAAGTCTGGGACTGAGTGTTAAGCACAGTCACACCTCAAAATACTTAGCCACTTTGGATCTTTCATGAAATTGTCACAGTGTAATTTCCAATTTGTTTTTTTTTCTTTCTCCTATTACATAACCAGTTAAAGCAAGTTTCACATTGTATAATATTATCCTATCTACATCATACCATAAAAGCCCTTCAATTCAGGGATGGGAAATCCCCATCTTCACTGAGTAAATACATGATTATTCAGCTAATCACTGTGTCATCAACACCAAGCAACGGCCAGTATATTTCTTTACTAGTTAAAAGGAGAAATAAATATTTCTCTCTACACATTGGTATGATTGAGGATACTCAGCATACCTTTGCATCTATAAAACGAGAGAAAAATTCAGGCCTACTGAGAATGCAACTTAACAGTTGATCCTGCCAAGATTTTGTCTTTGAAATACAAGCAGGGAGTCCTGACTATACTTGGTACACTCTCTGGCTGGGACAGCCACTCAAAGTCAGGAGTTTAAATTGGATTGCTCTGACAAGTAAACCAAAGTATATTCACTCAAAATGTTAGGAGCCTGGATTATAGGAACATAAGATTCACAACTAGAATGAACATAAGAAACTATCCAGTCTAACTATATCACTTAAGAAAAGAGGAAACTGAGGCCCAGGGAAGTAACATGATTTGTCTCAGGTAACATAAAAAATAAAAAGCCAAGCTAGAATCTCAGATCTTCAAATCTTCTGACTCCACTCTGCCTTCCTTACTATCACTTCTACTATGACTCTTCAC